TCTTGCTGAAAAGTATCAATCCGTCGCCATTTTAAGTTCACTTTCACTCAATCCACCTCAAGTATAGGGAAGAACTTATTATCCAAGTTAGAGCAAAGTCCAAGATAAAAAGCAAACTTCCAGGGTCGGTTCGTCTGCTTACGAAAAACTCACAGTTCAATTTAAGTTGCAGCAGTGGCGGCGGCTTCTAGCTTCGCCAAAGCGAAGGAGTCCTGGATCGCGGAGAATCCTCGGGGCTCCGGAGGAATTCTAACCTACATCGTCCACAAGGGACGACTCGGGAACTCAACTCCTACCCCGGGCAGCTCACCTATCCCCTTATGCCCAGGGGAAAGGTATCAAGCCGTTTGACAGCTGATGCTGGCTGTCAAAACGGCTTTTACGCTGAAACAGGCGGGAGGCAGCAATCAGCTGCGTCCGACGAGGTCGCCTGCCACCGGAAGTCAGTTTTATCATCATACAGAATCATGGCTTCAAACCTCATGTCAACGCTGCTATCATCGGATGTTCTTGCTTTGACAACAGATGAAAATGCAGCCATTTTCTCTATGCTTTTAGAATTAGTTGATGTTGGGAGGGGGAATAGGGATAAGAGTCCAGCTAGTCATAACAATAATAACTTGGCCATGGGAACCTAAGGACATTGGGCCCAGAGCTGATAGTGTTTTGGTGGGCTAGAGAGCTGGGGAGGAAGCCCGCACTTCAAGCTAATTGGGGAATGTGATTTATGACTGTTTATTGGAGATGGGAATTGTACTTTGTTACTTTGTATCCAGGGGAGGGGAATTTAGTTTTTGGGTTCAACTATGTAGTGCCGATAATTTTTTTCCCTAATAAAAGATTCTTTAAAGTAAACAATGCCTTGAAGTTCTTTTGAAGGGTTTCATCTGTCGGAACCATAACATTTTTATCTCCAATTTTTACCTATTCACCCTGAGGTCCCAAGCCCCAGTCTCTGTCCCTAGAGTTGAGGGATAGACCAACAAAGATTTGTGGAAGATCTTAACACAGAAAAGGAAGGGGCGCCTGAAACCAGCACCCCGGCAGTGGCTGCTGCTCCAGAGGAGGGAGCGCAGGCCAGCGCACTAGCAGAGAAGGAATCTTTTCAGGTCTCCCAGATGGGGGCAAGACAGTTCCAAGGGCAACTGATCTGGTCGTCAGACTGGACTTTACCCAGTGAAGACTCCAGACACCTCAAGACAGCCTTGCCACAATCAAGTGCTTCGAGGGGAGATGAGGTCGAGTTGCAAAGAGGGGCTTCTCACAAGTCGCGTTCCCCAGATCAATGGAGAGCCATGAAATCAACTACTGCTGAGGACTCTGGTGAGTGGAAGTATCTGTCCACAGTCCGTAGTCAATCAGTGGAGAAGTTGGTGGAGAGATTTGAGGAGCTAGAGATGAGAAGTGGGGAACAACCCTCCCATTCTCCATACACAATTGATCATGATGATCAGCGGTGCAGCCACCAACTCATGCCGAGGGGAAGCCCCAGCCCCACCTGCAAAGGGCAAGCGGCTTCCCCATCCACGAAGCCACCTACAATAGCCTCCAGCCCCGCAGAGAGGGACAACCCTAGTTGCCACCCCAGACATGGCAGCCCAGATCGCCGTCGCCCCTCCAGAAGCCCAGATGGCTGCCAGCGAGACAAGAGCCAAAGCCGTCACTGGGACAGCCAAAACCTGGACCGACATGCCTACCAGCCACCCAGCCCGAGGCCTCTACAGCAATGGGGGATGCCACAACCCCCAAAGCTGGGAGGCCAACAGCCGCTGGTGGTGCAGCAACAGCTTTGGCAGTGGTCGCAGCCCCCGAATGTGCAGCAGCAGTGGGGCTGACCACCATCTCTGAATGTGCAGCAACTGCTGAGGGGCCTGCAACCACTGGGGATCCTGCATCAACCACCACTGGGGCCGCAGGGGAACCTACAACAACCGGGGATACCACAATTGCTCGTAGGTCAGCAGCAGTGGGGGTGGCAACAGCACCCGAATGTGCAGCAGCCACTGGGAGGCCTGCAGCAACTGAGGATGCCACTTCAGCAGCCGCTGAGGTCATTGGGGGTCCTACAGCAATTGGGAATGCCACAGCCGCTGGGAGGACAGCAGCCGCCGGCAGTGCAGCAACAGCCATGGGGGGTGGCAACAGCCCCTAAATGTGCAACAATCACTGGAAGGCCTGCAGCAACTGGCAAATGATGGGGGTGCAACATCCACAGTGGGGAAGCCAGCAACCACCGAGAATGCAGGCTCACTGGGGAGCCCAGCGACCACTGATGGTGCCTCCCCTTAGAGTAACTTTTGATGGAGACCAGGAGAAGCTGATTTTCTTCCTCAACCAGGTGTGTTTCCACATGAACTGCTATGCCTATTTCTACCTGAACCCAGCCGCTATGTTCGACATGGTGGTGTCCAATTTGGAAGGGGAAGCATCCAAGTGGCTGAACAATTGATACAATGAGCAAGCACCTGAGTTGGGGGACCTTCACCTCTTCCTCCTAGGACTGAGAGTAAGGTTCGAGGACCCATCCATTGCCCTCAAAGCGGAGGAGCAAGTCCATAAGATAAGACAAGCTGGCAGGCCTGTACTGGAACACGTGCGAGAGTTTCACAAGACAGCCGGCCAAATAGAGAGGTGGCCTGAGCAATCCCTAGTTCATCACTTCACGGAGGGACTGGATGACTATCTCTCCCAGGCTTGTGTCTATCGAGCAGTCCCTAATGAATTGCAAGAATGATACAAGCAGCAGTAAGACTGGACGTCCAGCCTGCCCGCTATAAGAAGCCACCACCTCAAGAAGCCGGGCCCAGGCCAGATCAACCCAAACGGCAACCACCCCCTGAAAGCCTCCAACCGCTGCGGCCACTGAAAACCCCAAGCCACCTGCAGGCTCATCAATCAAATGCTTCAGATGTGGACAACAGGAACATCGAGCAGTGAGTTGCCCA